CACACATTTGTTGGTGTAAATCCAATTCCTGCCAAGTAAAGCATTATACTTGGCATTATTATCTATAACGAAGAATGTTGTCATGAAATCTCTGGTTTCCACACTTAGGTTGATGGGCAGGATGCCCTGAGCCATCTGTTTATCCCCAGCGAAGCCAGCAATGGTTGTGTTGGTTGGGATTAATTTGAGATTTCTTTTTCCAAATTTCTTTAAAGAGGACTTTGGAAGCAGGTTCACTGCTACCCTATTATCCACTAACACCTTGTTCAATTGTATCCCATCAAAATAAACCTTGATATACAAGGGCTTAACGTGTTGTGTCATAGATGTTATAAGATACTTGAAGGGATATGAGAGTAATACTCACCTCCCCACTTTCATCTCCAGTTTTTATTGGTGTGGCCACTTTAGACTCATATTGAATCATGCTAGCCTGTGAATTTTCACTAGAAACTAGAATAGGGTCATCTTCCTAACCTTATTGGTCTCCATCTTCAGCCTGGAACTCCTGTGGCAATATATATACCATGTTTACTGACACTGGAGGAAATGAGCCAAACTGAACTACTGGTTGCACTTGTTTCTTTTCCAAACTAACTTGTTCAATTATTTCAAAAGTATCCTCTATTCTACACTCTGGTACCTCAATACTGGTGACTTCCTTCGAATCAACTCGTTTGTGGTATACTTTTGTTGGATTTTCGACCAAAAAGGTCTGTTCAGCCATAAAGGCTTCAAACATCTCATTTTCAGTCATTTCTTTCCTTTGGCCTAGTGCAACTTCTCCTTCTGTTTCACTGTCGCTTTCTATCAAGGCCTTCAAGACTTGCTAAGTTGGATATTTCATTGGCTTTTAGTTCAGTATGAACCTTAGCCAACTGCTCTCTACTGGCACTTCTTTTGTTCTGAGGAGCCAATTTTGGACTTTCTTTCTTATCTGCCTGGCCTTTTGACTGGGCCAATGAAGAACTCTCTCCACTTTCGTTCAGATTCTTTTGGTACAAGGTGTACCTTCTCTGGATCTTTCTCCTTTGAGACATAGAGATTACTGGAACCATATCTGTTTCCTTTGTTTTTGGGTGCTTGAGTAATACTCAATTATTTGAAACCACCAAGGGAAGTTTAATCATTCTGCCCTGGTCTCTAAAGACACTTTTCTGTGCAGGTATTTCCTCAGGCTTGTTCTACATAACAAACCAGTCTAGCACCCCAAGTACCCATGAACTCACTAGTTCAGTTGCTGAACTTGCTTTCTGAAGCTAAATTTTTAGGCCATTCACCGGCTCTGGCACCCTGTCTTGAGCCTAATTCAGGCCTTCTTTTAAGGTAATTGGCTTGCATCTTGTTCGAAGTTGACTTTGGAGACCAATTACTGGCTCTGATTCCCTAACTTGAGCCCAATTCAGGCCTTCTCTCAGAATAATTGCCTTCCATCTTGTAGTAATTGGGTGGTTTGAACTCATGCAGAGGTCTCTTACCCTTGGAATGCATTCTAGTGGCTGGTGGTGCAGCTAAGAATGGCTGTTGTCTGGGACCAGTTGGGTATGGCCTCTTGTTGTAGGTATTGGTTGGCTTAGGGCGTCTCTATACATCCTTGTAATATTGTTTCATATCAATTGGGAGCCCTTTCAACCATTTATAACTTAACCTACATCTGAGACACATCCTTTGCAAGACAACTGCCTCTAGAAAGTCATCATCTAGTGCTTCCTTATTAGAGTCATCATTTTGGTCCGCAAAGCTCTGTTCATTTGCTGGTGAACTTCTAGTATCCTTCTTGAAAGCAGTCTGGCTGACAACATGCATCTACACATTAACCTCCTCAAATTCCTTCAAGGATAAGTTTTGGAAATCTGGCACACCAACGTTGGCTGTAACCTTCCCAATCTCTGGGAACGGGTTGGTGTCAATTCCCATAACTTTCTCTGCTTTGGTTGGGAACTTTAAACTCCCATTTCGAATCTGTTCTTGGATCCTGTCCCAAAAAATAATACAATTCTTAGTTGAATAAGACCAAGAATTGTGCCATTTACAGTACATTTTTCCTTTAAGTTCTTCTGGGGAAGGGATCTTAACTTCCTTTGGTAACTTTAGGAAATTTGCTGCAAGTAAATGATCAAAAATGTCATCTGCTTTTATAAAATCAAAAGAATACTTCCTATGAAGGTCTTTTTTTTTAAACTGCTGGTCTATTGTAGTGTCCTTATGAATTAACGCCTTACAGGTCATAGGCTTTTTCCCTACGATCTCTGCTGCATCAATCTTGTAATTAGGGTCCCTATAATAGGTCTTGTGTGATGCATTACTTTGATCTTGTTCTTCCTCAAGTAATGATTCGTATCTAGACACCTTATAGGTTAATTCCACTAAGTCTCGAAACTCAGTTAAGTAAAACTTCCTTCAAGTAAAGATTCATATCTAGACACCTTATAGGTTAATTCCATTAAGTCTCGAAACTTAGTTGAATCGAACTTCTTTCGAAACCTAAACTCTAAATCATTTTGAGCCAATCTCACAAATTCAGGCTCTGGTATAGTGACCCTACACTTATTTCGTGCTCTTTTGAATCTAGCAATAAATTGAACAACCTTCTCATCGAGCCTTTGGCTCAACCTTGCCAAATCTGCCATGGAAACTTCAGGCTTTGTTTGGAATAATTGGGAATGAAATGCTTCCTCCATTTGCTGCCAAGTTTGGATAGAGCTATGTGTGAGGTGAATATACCATACAAAGGTTGCCCCAGTTAAAGAATTTGAAAAGAGTCTTAACTTCATATAATTATTATTGGTAAATTCACCACATTGGCCTGCGAACCTGGGAATATGTTCTACTATTGATTGGTTTCCATTTCTATAAAAGAAAGCAAAGTCTAGCATTCTAAACCCCTTGGGTATTCATGCACCCTATCTACCCATTCTGGGTATAGCTTTCTATATATAGGAGTCTGGACCCCCCGATCCATAGGTCTACACATCTCTCTGACAATATTAGCAATTTGGTTCCTAAGAACCATATTCTATGCTTGTTGGACTATTACTGGAGGAACAAACACAGGGTTTGGTGGAATCCCATGTGCTTGAGGTCCTCTTGGTCCATAGAGAGGTATATTTAGGACTGGTTGTCCCTATGGTACTAGTTGTTGTTGGGGATATGGTTGACTTCTCTGGGCCTATCTTATGAAAGGACCTGCAAAAAGTGCTGCAAGAGGAGGAATAGGTGTTGTTTCTCTCCCAGTTGCAGGAAACCCTTCCAACCCCCTGGGTGTGAATTCGAACAGAGGGTTAGTGAACCCCCTTGTGCCAGGCATGGTTTCGAACATGGGATTTGGAAACATTCTCACGCTATTTTCTTGTATTTGGCCAGATCCACTAATTTGTATGGTTTCGCTGTTAGATAATGACAGATTTTGATTTACCAAAGGCCTCGAAGGAGGCTCATACCATGACTGAGGTACAGGTGATGGTCTTTCATAATTTTGATTATTATTCTGACCATTAGTATGTCCATTAATTTGCATAGGCTGCTTATCTCTAGCCAATCTTTGCTGAAGAACATTTGAATTTTCCTCTATATGCCTTGTGATAGTTAGTTTATGGGAATTCATTCGATCCATGAAGGATGTTGCCCATCTTTCCATTGTATACATTAATTGTTGTCACATGGCATCTACCAAGCCTTCCCACAGATTCATTGGCTGGGTAGACGGAACAGTGGATGGTCCAATTCCATGGCCTCGTCCAATATTTTTGAACATATGGTGCATGCTCCAAGGTGCTGGTCTGTTCGACCATAAGTTTTGATGAGATAGGTGTTTCCATAGGATTTGTTATCACATTATCCTCTAGATCAGGTACTTCTACCTCTCCCTCCACACCTTCTTCTAGGCATTCATTTTCTCATTGTCTCCTACGTCTAGCCATTTAGTGTCCCACCAGGCATGCCAAAAATATATGTTGGCTTTTTTGGCTTTCGAAGGTTAATAATGTAAATTTAAGCATACCAGTAAGGATCAATTAGTCCTTACAGAATTTATAATTGCCAACCAATTATCAAGCGATTATGTTGTAGTTCTTTCAACCTCAATGAAGAGGACTTTTACTGGTGGCTTGCTTAGGAGAAATTAGTAAATAACAATAAGTGAAGAACAATTTCAAAATCTGAATTTCATTAAGTAATGAAAACTTACAATGATCTGACCCAGCCTCGTAAAGGTTCACAACAACAAACTATTTGAAACTACTCCTAGAAAATAAAATGTAGCATAGGAATTGAAGTGTAGAAATGTAAAGAACTATTAAACTAGAAGGAAAAATGAAATAAATAAACTAATTTTTTTATCTGAGTCTGGGGGTTCATTCTGGGGCATTCCTTACTATTTATACTTCTCAATGGTAACCGTCGAAGTGGGCTTCCAACCGTCGAAAATGTCTTCCCTTAATTGCTGAACATACTCTCTCACAGTCAGTCCCACTACGCACTCATACAGTTAGGCTTCCCTCCTGATTTTGAATTTAAACTTTATGAGTAACCGTTAGGCCACATCATCTTGTATCTCTCGATTGTTCCAGTGCTACGCAGATCTATTATTACCAATACGAACTGCCACATGTCTGACTTTGGTTGACAACTTGTATTAACTCCTCAAATTACTCTTTTCGTGCGTTAAATTATGATTAATTTTTACAAATTATACCGTCAACAGAATATACGAAAAAGTAAAAATAATAATATGACAATTTATATTAACCTTTTGACTTTTTAATTAAAACTAAAGGTTACCCAACTAAACTTTAATTTATTTTTAAACTGAATCAAGTGAACCTACACAATTAAAAAAATATGATTTTAAGCTTCTATAATTTACGACTTAAACTGAATCAAGTGAACCTACACAATTAAAAAAATATGATTTTAAGCTTCTACAATTTACGACTTTAATGATAATTTCAAATGCGAAAAAAATATAATTTAAAAAAAAAATGATGGTGGAATGGCATATATTTCTCACATCACAAGTCACAGCCACCCTGTATCGACTGCAAGAAAACCCCAGGTTGAGAGAAAACCCCAAGCTAAACCCCCCACAAACAACCTGATTTCACAAAGTAGACTCTGACAATCCTCCTCTGCAAATTCAAAATACAAGAATCTGATGATGGAGTTAAAGGATTTCAAAGAAGCTTTGAATTTCGCTTTCACAACAGAATTCTGGAGGATGGGTGTGTTCTGGACCATCTCTCTCGTCCTTTCCTACTTGCAGTTGTTCACCACAACCCTTTTTTCCCGGACACCCATTTCACACCCACGTTGTTCTCCTTCACCACCACCACCACCAGCAACCACCGCAACTTCAACTCCCACCTCCAGTCCTACCAGGAGGCCTGTCTGCATTATCACCGGCGTAATTGTTCTAATTTTATTTTATTTTTTAATGCTATATGTGACAGTTTTGAAGTGGGTTTGTTGATTATATTTACTAATCGCTTTAGATGGAGTTTAGTTTTGATTTTCTGATTTGGGTTTTCTCTGTTTGGTTGAATTGTGTGTGTAGGCGACTTCTGGGTTAGGAGCTGCAGCTGCTTATTTTCTTTCAATGGAAGGTTTCTTTGTTGTTCTTGGTACTCTCTCTCTCTCTCTCTCTCTCTCTCTCTCTCTCGTTTGTTCATATTTTTCATATTTTTTAGTTCATTTGCGTTTAATTGAGTTCTCAATTTGGTTCAATGTAAAATCATTTACTGCACTGATGTTTCAATTGCAAAGTTCTTTACAGGTCAAATAATTGTCATCCTGCCATTTTTCGGGTGTTTGGTTGGCTAAAATTTTGAAAATGAAGTTTCAGTCTAAAGAAATCATCAAACAGCTGGTGGGCATACAAAATATGATATAAGAAAGCAAAAGAACAATAATTGAATACTTGAGGGGTAACACAGTTAGGCTGACTGAGTGTAGAGTGTGAGATTTCTTGAAGAAAAGACTTTGACCAAGTTGGTGTGTGTGCCTATGTACATTTTTATTCATATAATAAATTCGAGGAAGGGTTATGACTCGCAAGTGTTGTAGAAGATGCCTAAGACTACTGTTGAGATGATAGGAACCTCCTGTAGTTGTATGATTTTGAACCGAAAAACTCACAAAAGGAATCCATAGACTTTACATCCAATTTGGTGAAATGATTTAAAATAAAATTGGATTATTATTTCAATTGCATCAACCGAGGAAAATGAAGGAAATAAGTGTTAGAAAACATTTTGCAATAAGACAATTGGAGCATTAGTGTTGTGTCTCCGCATGAATGCATTCTAATTGATCCGTCAAGCATGCTGCTACACCCACAAAGCACTTGTGAAAATTGCTCTACAATAAGGACCATATGAAAGAAAGAATGGCCTCTAACTAAATTCATTTCCTACCTGCAGTTGGACGATCCTCACATCTGTTGTCAAAGGTGTAATGTATGTCATAAGTATATTGCTATTTGTACATCCCTAGATTTGAATGCTTTCATTGATCTTCTCTCTCTTGGTTGTTTGATAGGTTATGGAAGATATTGAAAGACGAAATAAAAATGCCCATCTCAAATGCTTTCAGGTTGATTTATCATCCTTTCAGTCAATATTGAAGTTCAAAAGCTCCTTTCAGCAGTGGCTTATGGATTCAGATCTGCATTCTTCAGTCCAACTCCTAATAAACAACGCTGGGATACTGGCAACAACATTTAGACTCACTGCTGAAGGCTATGATCAGTAATAATTCAAATTATTTATCTATTTGCTTGTAAAATATATAGGCGTACATGTGCCACTTGAGCAAAGTTATTATTTTATAAGCTTGGTGACAGCTTGATGATATAGGAAGGTCACATGATAGGAAACTGTACGAGTTTTAGTGAGCTGTTAGGAGATGAAAGTTAATTTGCATAAGGTGAATTAAACTTGTATAAGTTATTGGTAAAGTTGAGGACATGGCAGTTAGTCTAGTGATCCATGTAGCTATCCCTTGGGACAATGAGAAGGTCAAAGGTTCAAGTTTCAAGTCGATGGAATGACTGCGACCCTTTTGTTGTAATCTTACTAACCCACTAACATCCTATCCTATCGTTTGCCAAAACAAAGTTATTGGTAAAGTTGGTTCCTCTAAAGCTACACTAGCTGGTTGAGTTACAGTTGATCCTTGTGGAATTTATGTACATGATAATTTTGATGATGTGTTTGTTCCTAGATTTCTATCTTAAAAATATATGTTAATTCTATTCTTTATATGTTGTGTGTTTCCTTTGTGTCTGCGTGGCAGAATGCAGGAGTCTTGGTTTTCTTCTATGTAATTAGAATTAAATTCAAATTGTGTTGCTCCCTTTGAAGTAAGGAAAAAACCAAAAAAAAAGGAAGTCTACATCAAGGTTCCTACGCTCCTAAAGAATAGTTGGTTGCAACTTGCTTGCTGATGTTTCTCTTGCCTTTTCCAGGATGATGGGTACCAATTACATTGGTGCGTTTTCTCTTACCAAAGTTCTATTACCACTTTTGGAAAACAGCCCCGTTCCTGCCCGGATTGTTAATGTCACATCCTTTACACATCGGAGTGGTGAGCATTTTCTAACCTTTCTGACTTTATGAGATACATTTGAAAAACACAAAAAAAGTGGCAATTTGATTTTTCAACCACTAATTGTACAAAAAAAAGTTCACTAGACTTAAATATATAGCTTTGAGTTTGCTTTAATTGTCGAAATTTTTATCCCTGCTTGTATGCATCTAGACTACGTAACATGGACACTAATGGTCACACATAAACGGTGCCTGACATGTTACCCAAAGAAAACATTAGTGGCATTGCTGTCAATGGTGATGTACTGATAATATGGTGTGTTAAACGGATTATACATGCTATAAAAGAGAAACCATTGCATCTTCTGCACATGGTGATTTGGTGTGTATGCACCACAGACCATATTATTATTTTGTCGTTAGTTGGTAGTTTTCAGTCAAGTGGGATATCATAATTTGTTTTTCATGAGGTTCTTTACAGAGTATTGGATATAAATATCGCATTATTTATTGTTTTTCTTCAGTGTCTGATATACAGGTAGACAAGGAAACTGTTTCTGGAAAGTCTTTCTTGAAATTCAAAAAATATCCATGTGCTCATATCTATGAGTATTCTAAATGTAAGTTACTTGTCATGTTGACATTGACTTGATAATTGTTTACTGCATTTCTAACTCTGTGTGTTTTCCTCTTGATAGTGTGCCTACTACTATTCTCGTATGAGCTTCATAGACATTTTGGTGTGATGGGAAAATCTCATCAGGTTTCTGTCATGTATGTGTTTCAATACTTCCCATTCCTTGCTTTTTAGCTTTGTTAACTTCTGAACTTTTAAATATAATAATAATTGTTTAATTGTTTCATTATGTGACTGCAAGATGTAAAATTTTTGCTCATTGAGGTTTTCACTATTGACAGAACAAATCTCTGGTGTTTTTCTGCTGTATTGTGGAAATTATATGATTAAGGCATAAAGGTGTTCTTTCTTGTTTCCACATGTTCTCATATCCTGAATATTTGGCTGGAAAAGGTCATGGCCATGGCTTCAATTTCCAATCTTATAGTCTCAATCATGCAATAATTTTGCACACTTGCATCTGTATCTTTATGATTCAAGGGGCTCTTGTCGCAACTTCTTTTATGTTTTTGGTAGGAAGATTAAAATAGGGAAAAACAATGCTTCCCAACAGGAGAAAAACTGAGAAAGGATTGTGGCCGAGTCTCATCTCATTTTGGAATCAGAGTTTTGTTAAATGTCAATTTTTGGCAAGAAGTTTCTGCAGCAATTACATATTGAGGAAGGATTTGATAGCCTAGTTTGACAATTGCTTCTGTAGTGAAGGTTCGGGTTGCAAAGGGTTTCATTTTGGTGTTTAGAAATTCTGTAATTCTTGTACTAATTGTACCGTAAACACAAACTGATGCTGTTATAAGGGATGATGTGCTTCATGCACATAGAAGTTTTAGATTGACTCCCGGTGGTGGTTGGTGCTTGTCCTCATGCTCTCTTTAGTTACCACTTCGCCCAAAACTAATAACTAAGCCCAGAAACAAAAGGGTTGGTGGCAAGTTGGCAACCTAATCTACACTTCAAAAACCTAGGTAACCAAAATGCTATTGAATTTTAAAACTTAAGAAAACATATATAAAAATAAAACCGATAGCACACTATCCTATAAAATATAATTAGATTCAAATTAAACCTAAACCCATTAGACAATGTTAATGTAAATTGTGTAAATGTAAATTACCACTACCACTCACTCCACCTACCACCTCCACTACCACCCACTCCACCTACCACCTCCACTACCACCTACACCTACTCCTCACCTACTCCCAAATCCTCTCCTATATAATAGGAATCCTTGTAATATACGTAATACACAAAAAAAAACAATCAATAATATACATCAATTTATTTTACATGGTATCAGAGCTATAAGATTTAAGCCTATATTCCTTTCTTTCCGGCGGGCAGCCGGCAGGCAACCATGCCTTCGCTGCCCGCTGGAGTTTTTCAACATCTCCTACACAGCATCACCATTACCCCTTCCCAAAACCAAAATACAGAAGGCAACAAACCCAGTAACACATGTCTCCTCCGCGTGTATCTGGTGGTGGTAGGTGGACGCCGACTCAAATTGTTGACCATCTTCATTTACTTTGTCATTGTTCAGATCTGCTTTAAGGCTCTTCAGTTTGAGACCCCAAGTCTCCGTCAGGCCTACATTGCCCTCCAAACATGGAAATCCGCCATCTTCTCCGACCCATTCAATTTCATCGCCAACTGGAACGGTCCCAAGGTCTGCTCTTATTTGGGAGTGTTCTGTGCTCCTTCTCCCTCCGATCCTTCTCTAAGGGTTGTCGCCGGCATCGACCTCAACCACGCTGACCTCGCCGGCTACCTCCCAACGGAGCTTGGTCTCCTTCCCGGTCTCCACCCTCTTCGGGGTCTTCACCTTCTTTCCGATCACACCCTCCACCCCCGCCATCATCCGAGGTCATTTCCTTTTCGTTCGGTTCTTGGCGAGATTCCGCCCACTTCCGGGTTGGGAGAGGTTGTCAATTTGTTTGTGAAGTATCTGACTCTGAGTTCAGTTCCGTTTACTGAAGTGTCTGATCTAGTTGAATATAGTGAGAGTCCTAGGTGGAGGGTATCTGGATCTTCGGATGGATTTAAGTCAAGGAATGCTATGACAGTAACTTCTTATGTGGCTTCTATTGGTTGTTGGAACACACCTACTGAAAGAGTTTCACCCAAGACTACTATTCCTCCCCCACCCCACCTGGTGCAGTGTGCATTGGTTGAATATTCAACTACTCAGTGGCTTTCTTTCTCTCACTTTTAACCTTTCCTTTCCTTTCTTTTTATTTTAATATTCACATCCACTACATTATCCCACCGCCCATCAAAGCCTTATTTTATCTTATTTATCATCATCATTTTCAAACCCACCTGTAAATCTCCACCATCTTTTTTTCCACCATTTTTTTTCTTTTTTATTCTTTCCACTCAACTTTCTTTTTCTTTTTTTATTATTTTACTTCAAAAGCCTGAGCCATTCCACCATCTTTTTTCTTTTTCATTCTTTCCACTCAATTTTTTTTTTTATTATTATTTTACTTCCTCTTTTGAAACAATAACAACACGGCACCCAACTTGCTTTGTCCCTCTTCTTTTCCTTTCTTTTATTTTATTTAAACAAAAAAAAAATAAAAAAAAAAAAAAAAAAAACAAAAAAAAAAAAAAATTACACATTTGCACAACACACCCTATTTTATTCATCTCCGGGATCGACCCCGATCACCATTTTACATAACAACAAAAAAAAAAAAAAAAAAAAAAAAAAAAAAAAAAAAAAAAAAAAAAAAAAAAAAGTGTAAAACTTTTTGAAGTAAATTATACTATTATATACCACGGTGAGATTCTACAAATTCTAAGGCCCATTTTGTTAATACAACATTTTAGCGAAAAAAAAAAAAAAAAAAACCAACTACACAAATCGAAACAGTGGGTTTTTTCTTCTCTACTCTGCTGCAGGTCTCTTCTTCTTGTCTCCGTCCTGGGCGGCCCTTGACGGTGTTGCCTCCGTGCTTCTTAATCCACCAAGCAAGTTGACTACTCCCTGCTCCTCCACTGCTGCATATAGCAGACCTCCAAATCGGAACATCACGGTGGCCTTCCGCTTCAGCTCCTTATTTTCCGCCTTTAGCACACTTATCTCTACTCGCGCATCTTTATACATGCGTTGGAGCAGAGCCAGCTGGGAGTTTAACTGCTGCACCTCATTTGCCCTACTCTGCAGCCGGTTCGACAAGTTTGTATCATGGTTTCCACACATGACTTCAAGGTATACTGATTGGCCTCCACATCCGACTGCACCGCCATTTTTTGCTCCACTGACCGCATCGGAAAGTTCAATGGAGCAAACACAGAGGTGTTTGGTTGAGGTTCACTGGCCACCGCACCAGTTCTCTCTCTTGTTGACTCATTGAGGTCGGGAAAGAGAGTGAGCAGCCCACGGGAAGACGAAGCCATTTTCTGGGCAACAGAGTGTTACAGCGTATTACAGAGTTTCTCTCTCAGCAAAGGAAGAGTTTTTTCAGAGGTTTCTCTCAGTTTTTTTTTGTCTCAGCTTCTGCCTCAGCCTCAGCCTCAGCCTTCGTCTTGATTAAATAGCCAAGGCAGCCACGCGCATCGCGCTCCTCTTGCCACCAGACGACAAAACGGGCACGCAAGCCAAAGCGCCCACGTGCCTCGCCATCATGTCCGGCACACCTTTTTATGACTTTGGGTCGCCTTTTGATGGCACGCCTTTTGAAAAATTGGGCACACCTTTTGAGG